ATTCGGATCTCCCGCGCCCATCGTTACGTGACGCCCACATTGGAAAATATCCCGCCCGTCATCCTCAAACGGTTTGTCGCACGAGACGGCGCGGCAAATTACGATTCTCTCGCCGTCTCCAGTGAGCGGGCGGGCATGGTAGGCGTCCGGGTCGGTACGTTCTAGCTTTGTGGGGCGCTTTCAGAGTATCTTTCTTCGGAAAAGGGGCTGCTTAGCGCATGCCCAGAGGCAAAGGATCCTAATCCTGCTAGGCGTATCAATCTTCCATTGAGGATTACCGTACCCCTTTGATTCTCACGGCTTGCTCATGCAGAGGTTATAGTATTCGTCTCCAGGGGTAAAACTATGCCTAGTGCAAGTTTTCACACAATGCAGCGACTTGAGGTATTTTGTTGCCGGTGCGGGCGTTAGTCATTTTCGTCTCAAACGATATTCGTGTCCAGTGGAACAAACTACGCTTGAAGACCAATTCCATACAAATAAATATATAAATGGAAATTCTGACCCAAACGTGGCAAACTGTGGCAGTAAGGGGATAGTAGTGCCAAATGATTTCTCCAAATACACATTGTTCAATGTTGTAACTTCTATTTAATTCTCCTTTTGGCAGTGTTTCAGTCTCTCCGGACAGCATTAAACTGAATGCGCTGCTTTATTTCTCCATTTCTCTTGGTATTCTAATTATCTGTGTGCTATCACTTATTTTACTCGTGAAATTGGTAAGTTCGGTAACTTACTCCCTCTTTGCTCTGTTTGGTGTCTTACCAATGAGAGTACTCGCACGTGTAAGATTTATTACGACGTGTTCGTACTGAACCGTATGAACGACCGACATTAATATAACGAATTGAGGGGTTATATACAGGCGAATGTGGGCGGTGCTCACCAACTGTACCGATGGCGGTACTTGAAATAAGGTATGAAAGGGCGCACCGCGCCAACGGGAAGATATGAGGTATGCACTTGATTGCACACTCATGATACCGCGAGGTCGTGCCTGCGGTATCATCTTAAGAGGTGCTTATCTCAAGAGTTCCTAAGGATATATGCTGAACTAGACCGTTATCACTCACTCTTATATGCTAGTCCTATAGTGTACACTATTACAATGGTTGTCAATCCACAACACTCTGGACATAAAATTTATGTGCAGAACACTCACAGCAAATGGTGAAGGGTCCTCGTACCCTCATGTTTGAGGGTAAGATGCCTGGAGAATGCGCTGCGTGGGTAGGCGGTGGGACCCACGCAGCGCATTCTCCAGGCATCGTACCCCCAAACATCAGCATCAGTACATCGTACCCTCTACATAACATCAGCATCAATACCTACCCATGGCAGATATTGATGCTGATGTTATGTTTTTGTTGTAGCTATGGGTCACTGAAGTACTGTATTTTGAAGGTCTGATGACGGCGTTATCGCCGAAAAGCTTACCAATAAAGGATTCGATACAAGATTCCAAAAGCATCTATTCAACAGTTTCAATGAAGCTCAGAGAT